CCCCCCCCCCCCCCCCCATGGAACCTGCCTTGTAAGGGAAGCAAGTATGATTTCCTCTCCTTTCCTCGTTGGAAAAGCTAATTTATTCACCCAGGGTCTGATTCCCAAGCTGGAGCTCCAAACTGCTCTTTCTTACTCTGGATTAATCGCGCGTTGCCTTCTGAGGTTTCAATCGTCCCCTTTCTGCCTCCTCTCATGGGTTTCCCCATAAGCCTGCTGAGAGGTTAGTTCACCCTCCCAGGATCAATGTGTAAAACCCCAGAGAATTCTGCCCATTCCTGGAGGACCCTTCCAAGACTGCCAGACCCTTAATGGGGTTCAGGCAAGATTCTCACATGTGCCTTTTTGGCAAGGGGCTGCTGGCATCTCACCCAAAAGAGACTCGATTCTTAAAAGCAGCTCTCCATCAGCCCTCTGTGATTAAGGCAATCAGGTTCAACTCTGCAAGCTGTTTTGTTTTGATTTTGCTTCGGGGAGAGGAAGCAGCCTGGTTGTTCGAGTCCTTCTCCCAAAAGAATAAATCAGTATTTCTGTCCAGACCCCGACTGGATCAATGACTTTAGAGATGTTTTTGCTCATATTGATCCAAACGCTGGATTCACTGGATCAGTTGGGGGCTGTACTTTTGTGAAGATTTTATTTAAATTCCTCACTGATGAGTATTTTGAAGAAAACTCAGTTAACATCTCTACACGATTCCTAGAAAGGCAAAGGCAAGTAGGGAAAGGCGACGGTAAAGTTTCCGATACGTCCCGTTTTCCCTTTGGAGGCACAGGGGGCCATGGTCATCAGCCTATTAGATGATTCGGGAGCGAGGTTTGGAAAAGACTGGAATCCGACTCAGGGCTTCACGGGTTAACAGCCCTTGTAACATCGGCCGTTCGAAACTCCTCCTCTCGAAACTCCTCCTCCCGCAGTGAGGTGAAGATATTCGAAAATCACCCCACTGCAAACTCCTCCCCCTGCGAGGAAACTCACATTGAAATGCTGCAAATGACTGGGGCCCCGCAGGCAGTCGCCGCCGGGCCGCGCCAAACCCGGGTTTCCTGCGCGGACTTTGCGGACTCAGACTCGGGCCGGTGTTTTACGGGAGGAGGCTGGGAGCATGAGGGCCGCGGGCTGGGGGCTGAACTGGGCCGCCGCCCTGTTCCTCGCAGCGGTGGGGACGGCAGGTAAGGCTGGCTCCAGGCGCCCGCGTGCGGTGAGATGACCCCCAGAACTTGGGGAACCCCTTGGTAATTTGCGGGAAGGATGCGAAAAATGCCCCCATCCTTTACGACTTGTGGGAAAATGGCACGAAGTCCTTCCCAAACGGCTGGAGGGAGCGCTGAGGGTTGCGAGGGTTTGGGGATGTGGGGGAGTCAGGAGAAGCGGGGTGAGGTTTTCCCCACAAGTCTCTGCCAGAAGGGGGGACCCCCTTATCTTCCCTCAGACCGGGACACGGGGCTCTCCAGCCCTAGGGAGGCAGGGACACCCCCCCCCCGCCCCCCCGAGCTGCTCTAGGGAGAGGACTAGCAGAAGCCCGAGGTCCCTGCGGGCGCTCCTTCGCGCCCGCCCGCGGACAAGTACCCACGCGCCCCGGGCAGCTTCGTATTGCGCTAGGGAGGCTCCGGACCGCGGAGCCGGACGCTGCGATTTCTCGCGGGCGCTACACGCGCGCTTCTGCCGGTGGCCACCGCCTCCAGCCCCGCCTCCGGCTTCGAGGGCCAGTCCCCAAGCTCCCATTGGGCGCGATTGGAACAGGCGAGCCTCGAGCCACTCCCCTCGGCCAATGGGAGTCGGCGGATGCGGAGGGGCGCGCGGGGCGGGGCGGGGCTGGGATGAGGGCTGGGCGGGGCTCGAGGTGCGGCTTGGGACGCGCGAAGCACCTGGTTCCGTGAGGTGGACGAAGGAGTTCCCTCGCGTCTGTCCAGCGCTCTTGTCACAAAGGAGACGCGTCCCGGGCCCCCGGAGTCGCCTCCGTGAGCATGGGCAAGGTGCCTACCGCGCTCCTGGGCCGCCTTCGCGCAGCCCAAGGTTTCCTTCGAGATCTGGCCCGAGCCCATTTCGTCCCCGCGGCCGCCGTCGCTGCCCCGGGTCGAGTTCACATCCGTGTCCCCAGGCCACCCCTCAGGGCCTACCTCCTTCCCTGGTGGAACCGTTGCCTCAGAAATGCCCGCCCCTCTTCGGTCGGAAGCGGAGACCTTCCACCCGGGCAGGGATCCGGAGGCGCCGACATCGGATGGATCCCTCAGGGTGGCCCTGTTTGTTTCGAAGCTCTGAAGGGGGGTTCGACGACTTTTTTCCTCTTCGGGGGTTTCAGGGGGGTTGAGATTTAGTGAAGAGACTAGTTGGTGCCTGCTCCTGAGTTACCCGGTGGCTTTAAATGAACTGCCGGAGGCATCTGACCTCGCCCTGGATATTAGATAAATGATCTTTTCCCTACTTAGAACCGGCACAGCCCATGAAAGAATCGGGGCTGCCTGGTTACGGGATTGCCGGAAACTTTTCCACGGGTGGGGCGGTGGCTTTGCGTGGGACGCTTTGAACTCTTGGAATTCCTGCCCGTGACGCATCAGTTTTGGCTGAGAGGCGAGGAAGGGAGTTGATGCCATACAGCTGAGGATTATTGAGATAACTGCCACCCAGTTGCGTGAAGAGGAGGGAGCGTGGCTTGTCAAGAGGCACTTGGTTTGACCTGTGTTTTCAAACGCTGATGGGCTTCATCCCGAGGAGGAAATGATGGCAGTGATGTCTTGAGCAAGATGGGTTGCTGACTTTAGTTTTCTCTCTCACCGAGTGGCTGAGGATCTGATGTAATCTGTGTTCGCCAGGAGGCTCTGAGACCTGAGGGGTTCCCCAGACTCCTGGGAGCCAGCAGCTACTCTGCTCTGCTGTTAACCTGATGATGTATATTTGTGGCAGCCCTGTTTGCGCCAGCTCGCTCCTTAGCGGTCTTTAAAGCATTTTGGGGAGGTGGCAGGGGATGGAATTTCTTGTCCCGTTTCCTTGGAAAGGGAAGTCCTTGGAATCCGAGCTGCATGTGTTCACTTAGCCGGGTCAAAATCCGTTATCTGCGGAGTATCAAGTATGCCCAGGGCACACCCCAATTCAGAAAAAATAGAGCATCCTGCGAAGAGTTGTGTCTGCCTTCGCAACATGCCCCCCGGGGGGGATTCAGTGGTCATTGCTGGGCATACTTTTCTTCTTGGACAACACTGGCAAAAAGACAGGGAGATTTTTTTGAGACTGCAAAGCTTCAAGGGGAACTACCTGGCTCACTGTGTCTTTCCAGGATATTTCTGCTCTTATCTGTAGGGTTCGTTCCCCGATAAGATCCAATTCTAGATACCTTTGTTGCTCAGTGCTTTGATGGCCCTCACATCCCGCGTTAAGTACATTAATAGAGTCCACACTTTACCCGGCTGTCAAGCAAGTGACATTTGTTGCTAAGACACTGTGGAACTTACCAGCAATGAGCAACCACAGAAACAGGCTACCCCACCCCGAAGGAGCTGACTGCAAAATCTTCCATCGAGATCACCCCTGAGGAAAATGCCTTGAGATCACCTCGTTTGGAAAAGAGCCCTTGGTAAATTGATTTCTTGTTCATTTTCAGCTGAGTCCGTTAGCTCTGGCCATTTTTTTTTTTCCCACGGAAATGGTTCTATAATTTTGATGGCCCTCAACAACAGCTATCTTCAGTAGCATGGGAAAGAAAACATCGAAAGCATTTTACCACCTCATTTGTGTGCTGGTGAAAAAGCAGAAATGTGTATTCTCCTTTTCCGTTTCGATAACCTTGTTCCTGGCTTGTCACTCGTGACAGGAGAGATTTAAAGGCTATTTAGAGATTTGAGCGTGGGGGCTGGGGGCCGGCAGGGGTACGGGTGGGTGTGGTTCTTGTGCAACCCTAGCAGAGAAGAGTTCAGGGGTGGGGTGCTCAAGGTTGCTTTTACTGAAATTAGATAAAACTGACCAGGAAAACCAAGCCTCCCAACAGGGAGGAAGCAAGAAAACCCTGTGGTTTCTTTGGGTGATGGTGCTTTAGATTGGACTGGTTCTGGAGCGCCTGTGTGGCTCAGTCGGTTAAGCAGCTGACTTCGGCTCGGGTCAATGGCTTGCGGTCCGTGGGTTTGAGCCCCGTGTCGGGCTCTTGTGCTGGCAGCTCGGGACCTGGAGCCTGCTTTGGATTCTGGGTCTCCCTGTCTCTCTGCCCCTCCTCCCTCGCTCTCTCTTGCTCTCTCTCTCTCAAAAAAAAAATAAATAAATAAATAAAATCAACATTTAAATTGGATTGGTTCTGACCCTTTGCCAGGATGGTGTTTTCTGCTGTGGGGACACCCATCTGATGGGGTGTCCCTCGGTGCTCACTGTTCCTGATCCCTGTCCCCACCAGCAATGCTATTACTACTATTTCCAGTCTTTCCTGTAGCACGTTCTGTTGGTAAAATAGAGCTTTGTGCAAAGGTTGGCAGGCCAGAGCCGTGGATTAGTGGTAATGGAAGTTGTGAGCCCCTAGGGGAGGAGGGGATGACAGAAGCTTCTCCTCCCACCATCTTTACTGTGAGTGCCCCTGGCCTGAACTTCCTTTTTAATTTTTTTCTGAGTCCTGGAATTCCAATTACTCTCTTACCCACCCTGTGTGCCAGCAGCGAGAAGTGAGTCATATCCCGTTGTGGGTACAATTACGATTCGGCTATGAGTCAGTGCAGTGTGGGGCGTACTGTAGAGGCAGGTCTGAGAGACTCCTCCTGTTCAGGTCACTCTTTGGACTTCTAAGAGCTTCTTCTATTTCTCTATTGGTATCCCCTCTATTCTCCTTTCAACCCCCCCTCAATTTTCTCCTAGTATCATCTGACTGGTTTCCTAACCTCTGGCAGAAGCACTGGACTTGAACTTTGAAGACCCAGAGTTTGTTGGCTTTTTACTTATTTATTATTAAAAAAAAAATTTTTTTTTTTTTAATTTTTGAGAGAGAGCGGGAACAGGGAAGGGGCAGAGAGAGAGGGAGACACAGAATACAAAGCAGGCTCCAGGCTCTGAGCTGTCAGCACAGAACCTGACGTGGGGCTCGAACCCATGAACCGTGAGATCATATTCTGAGCCGAAGTCAGACACTTAACTGACTGAGCCTCCCCCAAATTTTATTTATTTATTTGTTTTTAAGTTTATTTATTTTGAGGGGGCAGGGAGAGAAAGAGAGAGTGAGTGAGTATGAGTGGGGGAGACGGAGAGAAAGAATCCCAAGCAGGCTCCACACTGTCAGCACGGAGCCTGACGCAGGGCTCGAACCCACGAGCCGTGAGATCATGACCTGAGCCAAAATCAAGAGTTGGATGCTTAACTGACTGAGCCAGCCAGGTGCCCCGGAAGGTGGTTTTTTAAAACTGGGTCCCAAAGTCCTTAGCCCCCGAGCCTTCAGGCCAGGTTCAAGATTGGGTTCAAACCTAGCTGAAATATTCGAGGGGGCCTGGAGGTCTCTGGGCTTATCTACTCCCATTGGGATGACCAAAGACAACAAAAGGCACTTGGGAAGGTTAGAGAATTAGAGTAGCTAGCACGAAAGTCAGGCGTATGCAGCGACTGGCATTGCAATTATTTCACTTAATTATTCTTTCTTACCTCTTAAAAAATCTCAAAAATAAAGCATTCCTTGAAGAAAAATGACTCTGAAGTGAATTGGCCACTATTCCCTATGCAGAAGCACAGATAAGATTCTGTTTCTCAAAAAAAAAGGACCATACTGAACTATTACAAACTATTCTGAACCTTGTTTTTCTCCCCCCCAGTTAACAAAAAACGGGCTCCTGGTGGCTCAGTATGTCAAGTGTCCAACTTCAGCTCAGTTCATGATACCGCAGTTCATGAGATCGATCCCTTCGTCAGACTGTCTGCTGTCAGCATACAGCCTGCTTCAGATCCTCTGTTTCCCTCTCTCTCTGTCCCTCCCCCACTTGCACATGTTCTCTCTCTTTTTTTCTCTTCTAGGGGCACCTGGCTGGTTCAGTCGATGGAGCCTGTGCGGTCTTGGGATTGTGGGTTCCAGCCCCACCATGTTGGGTGGCTTAAAAATGAATCTTACAGGGGTACCTGGGTCGTTCAGTCAGTTGAGTGTCTGACTCTTCATCTCAGCTCAGGTCTTGATCTCAGGGTTATGAGTTCAAGCCCCACATTGAGCTCTGTGCTGACAGCTCAGAGCCTGGATCCTGCCTTGGATTCTGTGTCTCCCTCTTTCTCTGCACCCTCCCCTCCCTTACACTCTCTCCTCTCTCTCTCAAAAGTAAATAAGCACTAAAAAAAAAAAAAAAGATAAAACAGATGTTCCAATCAGATATGATGGTAAGTCAGGCAAAATAAATACAAATAAGTTATCAAGAACACTATTTGAATTGTGGTTTCATGTGCCCAACTGTTAATGATTAACCCAGCCTTGGGGTGCCTGGCTGGCTCAGTCCGTGGAGCATGTAACTCTTGATCTCGGGGTTGTGGGTTCAAGCCCCATGTTGGGTGTAGAGATTAGTTGAAAATCTTTAAACAACCAAAAAACTGTACAATATGACTTGAGATTTTATTTTATTATTATTATTTTTTAACGTTTATTTATTTTTGAGACAGAGAGAGACAGAGCATGAACGGGGGAGGGTCAGAGAGAGGGAGACACAGAATCCAAAACAGGCTCCAGGCTCCGAGCTGTCAGCACAGAGCCTGATCCGGGGCTCGAACTCACGGACTGTGAGATCGTGACCTGAGCCGAAGTCGGCTGCTCAACCAACTGAGCCACCCAGGCACCCCTGACTTGAGATTTTAAATCTAAGTAGGATACCATCATGAATAAGATTTATTTATTTAAAAAAATTTTTAATGTTTATTTAAAGAGACAGAGTGTGAGTTGGGGAGGGGCAGAAAGAGAGGGAAGCACAGAATCCAGAGCAGGCTCCAGGCTCTGAGCTATCAGTAGGGGCTCAAAGCTATAAACCGCAAGATCATGACCTGAGCCAAAGTTGGACGCTTGACTGACTGAGCCTCCCAGGTGCCCCTATGTATGTATGTATGTATGTATGTAGCTAGCTAGCTAGCTAGCTAGCTAGCTAGCTAGCTAGCTAGCTTGAGAGGGGGATTGAGGGGCAGTGGGAGAGAGAAAAAAAAATCCCAAGCAGGCTCCACACTCCCTGTGTAGCCCTGTCCCACAAACCTGGGATCATAACCCGAGCCGAAATCAGGAGTCAGATGCTCAGCCGACTAAGCCACCCAGGCACCCCAATTATTATTATTATTTTTTAAGTAGGCTTCACCCCTAGCATGGGAGCCTGACTCAGGGCTTCAAACTCACAACCCTGAGAGCAAGACCTGAGCTGAGGGGCACGTGGGTGGCTCCATTGGTTAAGCATCTGACTCTTGGTTTTGGCCCAAGTCATGATCTCACAGTTTGTGTTTGAGTCCCACTGTGGGCTCTGAGCTAACAGCTCAGAACCTGCTTGAGATTCTTTGTCTCTCTCCCTCTCTCTCTCTCTCTGTCCGTCCCCCGCTTGTGTGTGAGCACACAACTGCTCTCGCTCTCTCTCAAAATAGAGACAGAGAGGGGCGCCTGGGTGGCGCAGTCGGTTAAGCGTCCGACTTCAGCCAGGTCACGATCTCGCGGTCCGTGAGTTCGAGCCCCGCGTCAGGCTCTGGGCTGATGGCTCGGAGCCTGGAGCCTGTTTCCGATTCTGTGTCTCCCTCTCTCTCTGCCCCTCCCCCGTTCATGTTCTGTCTCTCTCTGTCCCAAAAATAAATAAAAAACGTTGAAAAAAATTTTTTTTAAATAAAAAAAAAAAGAGTCAGAGAAAGAGAAAGAAAGAAAAGAAAAAAGACAAAGACCTGAGTTGAGATTAAGAGTCTTGATAGTTTGAAAACCTCTTAGTGACATAAATTTGGATCCTTACTCTCAAAGGAATGTGAAGATTTAAAGTTACAAGTAGACCAAGGAAACTGGTAGTTACCCCACCTCTATCTGTATTGAAGTAGATTAAAAGACATTCTAGGGGCACCTGGGTGGCTCAGTTGGTCGGCTCAGGTCATGATCTCCTGGTTCATGAATCAAACCTGGCATCGGGCTCTGTGCTGACAGTGAGGAGCCTGCTTGGGATTCTCTGTCTGCTCCCCCCACCCCAAAAAATAAATAAACTAATGATTTCTCAGAATTTTGTCTCTTTTTATTTCCTCCCTACCTACTAGAGAAGGCCCCTCATTTTTCCTTCAGCTTGATGATTTAATAGTGTCAATTTTCTTCATTACTGTTTCCAGCACAGGTTTGTAATATGCTTTATTCATGTGCATGTGCTTTTTTCCCCTACCTTAATGGACCCATACCATTATGTCAAGTTTTACACATTGTTGGCAGGCCGCTCTTCTAGATCTATTCTTTGCATCCTCCACTATGCTTTTGGTTTATGAAATTTGTTGTGTGTGTTCTGTTTCCTGGGAAGGATCGGATTCATTCTTCAGCTGGCAGGAAATAGACACACACAGGTGACGTCGTCAGTTTCTGGTTCTGGCACTGAATGGTCCTTTCTCTTCCCTTCTGTCTCAGTGGCGGACAAATGTGGGAGAAACGAGTTCCAGTGCCAGGATGGAAAGTGCATCTCCTACAAGTGGGTTTGTGATGGGAGCGCCGAGTGCCTGGATGCCTCCGATGAGTCCCAGGAGACCTGCAGTGAGTCCCCTTTGCGAGTGACACGCTTCCTGCCCTTTTTGATGACAGTGGGTGAGAGATGAGGTGGAAATCAGTCCGCGGATTGATGTGTTCGACCATGAATTGGGACTTGGGAGAAGAGTTATTTCTGGAACTTAACTTTAACAACTTAAAAAAAAAAAAAAAAGTGAAATTTACATGAGATAAAATTAACCATTTTAAACTGACTAGTTCAGTAGTATTGATGCAGTCACAATGCTATACAACCACCACCTCTGTCTCCTTCCAAACCTTTCCATCACTTCACGTCTGATTTTTTTTTAACAAGCTCCGTGAGATACCCTTCATTTTGACCCAGAAAGGTGGGCGTGGCACCCTCCTTTTGAAAACTGTTTTTCCTCTGCCAAGCGGGGGCTGGAGAGGCAGACCGGGCTTCCCTTAGAGTGAAGGCTCGATCCCGTTTCTCCCACAGTGTCTGTCACCTGCAAGCCGGGGGACTTCAGCTGTGGGGGCCGTGTCAACCGCTGCATCCCTGAGTTCTGGAGATGTGACGGCCAGGTGGACTGCGAGAATGGCTCAGACGAGCAAGGCTGTCGTAAGTGTGTTCCCTCCCCTGCCCGCCCCTACCCCTCTGACCTAACCGGAGCTGCGGATAGGCTGCTCTTCACCTGGCTCTGTCTCTTGGGGTCTCATGCCAACGCCCCTCACACTACGAACCCCACCTTGCCCAAGGGGCATTGCAGTGGATAGTGATGGCATCACGTCTACGGTCATCCGCACACACAGCGAGGCTGTCTTGCCCGGTGTCTCTCCCAACCACATGGCACACGCTCTGGTGAGTCGCCGTGACCACCACCAGCCACACTGGGAGGCTGAGTGCACAGTAGGTCCCGCCTGGCTGAGACCTGATCACCCAGCTAACCATTGACAACGAAGAAAACAAGCTTCACCAAGTTGAGGGTTCTGCCAAGAAACAAGGGAGGAGCGCACTTTGGAGAGCTGGGTGTCTGTCCTGACTCTTTCATGTTAGTTGGTTAGTTTTTAAACTATCATTTTGGGGCGCCTGGGGGGCTCAGTCGGTCAAGTGTCCGACTTCAGCTAGGTCATGATCTCACAGTCCGTGAGTTTGAGTCCCGAGTCAAGCTCTGCACTGACAGCTCAGAACCTGGAGCCTGCTTCACATTCTGTGTCTCCCTCTCTCTTGCCCTCTCTCTCTCAAAAGTAAAAACATAAAAAAAATTTTTGAAAAAAAACCTATTGTTTCTTGTTTTAGATGTATTTGTTTATTTTGAGAGAGAGAGAACAAGCAGGGGAGGAGCAGAGAGAGAGGAAGAGAGACAGAATCCCAAGCAGGCTTCACACTATTAAGTGTGGAGCTGGATGCGGGGCTCATCTCTTGATCCCCTGAGATCATGACCTGAGCCGAAATCAAGAGTCCGGTGCCTAATTGACTGAGCCACCCAGGCACCCCTTTGTTTTTATTTTTTTAATGGAGCAAGGTTCCATTAAATAACAAAGATAATGTCAGATCTTCAAGTTCAGAAAATGTAAAAATCCAGGATATGAAAAAAAAAAAAAACAAAAAACAGCACATGAGTGTTCACATACATTTACTTTTTTTTAAATATTTTATTTTTAGGGTGCCTGGATGGCTCAGTAGGTCAAGTGTCCGACTTGGACTCAGGTCATGATCTCACCGTTGGGTTCCTGAGTTTCAGCCCCCCGCCGGCCTGGGGCTCTGCTGACAGCTCAGAGCCTGGAGCCTGCTCTGTGTCTCCCAGTCTCTCTGCCCCTTCCCCACTCGTGCTCTGTCTCTCTCAAACATTAAAAATAATTTTTTTTTTTTAATAATCTCTACACCTAGGGTGGGGCTCGAACTTACAGCCCTGAGATCCAGAGTCACAGGCTCCACCTACTGAGCCAGCCAAGCGTCCCCACATACACTTACTTTAGAAATACATGTCTAACCCTAGTCAGTGGCCACCTTGATGGGACTGGGGTTCGGTGTCCTCATCTGTGGAATGGGCTGCTACTGAGGAGGAGAGGCTCTCTGGTGACCCCGTTGTCTTTTCCCATCCCCCTCCTTCCCCTGCAGTGCCCAAGACGTGTGCCCAGGATGAGTTCCGCTGCCAGGACGGGAAGTGCATCTCCCTGGAGTTCGTCTGTGATTCGGACCGCGACTGCTTAGATGGGTCCGATGAGGCGTCCTGCCCCATGCCCACCTGCAGCCCCGCCCACTTCCAGTGCAACAACTCCGCCTGCATCCCCGAGCTGTGGGCGTGTGACGGCGACCCGGACTGCAAGGATGGCTCAGATGAGTGGCCGCAGCGCTGCGGGGGCCGCAACATGTCGGCCCCACAAGGGGACGACAACCCCTGCTCAGCGCTGGAGTTTCACTGCCACAGTGGCGAGTGCATCCACTCTAGCTGGCGCTGTGACGGCGGCCCTGACTGCAAGGACAAGTCTGACGAGGAGAACTGCGGTAGGGGCGCCATCGGGGGTGGGTCCTCTGACCTGTCCCTGTGCCCCCCCCTGGTGTGGGACGGGTGGGCCTTTTGGTGGTTAAACAGTTTCAGATCACACAGCAAGAAAGTCCATCTCGTTTCGTGTTTCTTCCAGTGTTACTGATCACCTGGAGAAGAGAGCATCCCTAAAAGGAGGCCTTTTTTTTTTTAATTTTTTAAGTTTATTTATTCATTTTGCAAGGGGTGGGGGAGGGGCAGAGAGAAAGCAGGTGAGAGAGAATCCCGAGCAGGCAACAAACACACGGCTTGAACTCCCAAACCGCGAGGTTGTGACCTAAGCAGAGATCAAGGGTCAGACGTTTAACCAACTGAGTGAGCCCCCCAGGACCCCCAGGAGACTCTGTCTTTAACACTTACACAATAAGCTCTTTTTCCTACAAGGGAGCAAGCTGCATGTTGCAGTATTATTGTGGTCCACAAAGGATTCTGGGCTCCAGGCCTGGCTGGTGACCCCCACGCTTTGTGACCCTTGGCTAGGGACCCAACCTCACTGCATTGTGTTCTCCTCCCCAGTAGAATGGGGCAAAGGCCTTGGACTTTGCAGGTTTCGGTTGGAGTCCAGTGCGTCCCAATAGAACTTTCTGTGGTGGTGGAGACGTCCCACGTCTGTGCTGACCAGAGCAGTCCTTGCCTCCCAGTGGAGCTTGTGTGACCAGAGAGTGGAGTTTTTTGTTTTATTTCACTTTAATGAATTGACAGTTAAGTTGCCACACGTGGTGAGCGGCTCCCGTGTCGGAGACCGTGCCGATGAAAGGTGTGTGGCCCAGGCCCTGTGTCCGGGCTTCCTTTTCGTAAAACTAGCCATGTAGAGCTCCTGTGAATCTAGACCAGGGTTTCATGTTCCTATTTCTTTGGTATCTTTGCCCAGGTGCGCGCTCCCTAGTGGTAATCTCTGGGGAGATGTAATTAGACTTTTAAAAAGTTGCTTGAAAAAAATCTTAAATTATTTTAAAGTTTATTGATTTATTTTGAGAGAGAGAGAGCGGGGGGGGGGGGGGGCAGAATGAGAGGGAAAGAGAGAATCCCAAGCAGGTTCCTCACTGTCAGCACAGAGTTCGACACAAGGCTCGATCTCACGACCTGTGAAATCATGACCTGAGCAGAAACCAAGAGTAGGATGCTTAACCGACTGAGCCGCCCAGGTGCCCGTATTTATTTATTTATTAATTTGTTTACTTACTTTTTTAAATTTACATCCAAGTTAGTTAGCATATAGTGCAATAATGATTTCAGGAGTAGATTCTGGTGATTGATCCCCTAAGTATAGCACCCAGTGCTCATCCCTACAAGTGTCCTCCTTAATGTCCCTTACCCATTTAGCCCATCCCCCCACGCAAACCCCTCCAGCAACCCTCAGTTTGTTCTCTGTATTTAAGAGTCTCCTATTTATTTTTTTAAAGTAACCTCTGCACCCAACGTAGAGCCCAAATTCATGACCCCAAGATCAAGAGTCACATGCTGGTCTGACTGAGCCCTCCAGGCACCGCTAAATGGCACGTTCTTATTTATTTTTTATTTACTTATTTTTTGAATGTTTATTTTTGAGAGAGAGCTGGAGCACGAGTGGGGGAAGGGCAGAGAGAGCGAGCGAGAGAGAGACAGAATGAATCCCAAGCAGGCCCCATGCTGACAGCGCAGAGCCCAACACAGGACTTGATCTCATGAACTGTGAAATCATGACCTGAGCTGAATGAAATCAGGAGTTGGACGCTTAGCGGACTGAACCACCCAGGCTACCCGAAAAGTCACATTTTAAAATAATGGATGACTTTGTACATGATCTGTACTAAAATTTTTTTTTTTTAATTTTTTTTTCAACGTTTATTTATTTTTGGGATAGAGAGAGACAGAGCATGAACGGGGGAGGGGCAGAGAGAGAGGGAGACACAGAATCGGAAACAGGCTCCAGGCTCCGAGCCATCAGCCCAGAGCCTGACATGGGGCTCGAACTCACGGACCGCGAGATCGTGACCTGGCTGAAGTCGGACGCTTAACCGACTGCGCCACCCAGGCGCCCCTAAATTTTTTTTTTTTTTTAACGTTTGTTTATTTGTGAGAGAGACGGCATGTGAGCAGAGAGGGGGCATGAGATGGAGACAGAGAATCCAAAGCAGGCTCAGTGCTATCGGCACAAAGCCCATTTTAGGCCTTGAACCGTGGACCTTTGAGATCATGACCTGAGCTGAAGTTGGATGGTTAACTGACTGAGCCATCCAGGCGCCCCTGTACTAAAACTTAACACAAACTAACTTAATTCTCATAACTTGTGAGCAGGCTTCCCCCACTCTTTACAGATGGGGAAACTGAGGCCCAGAAAGGCTGAGTAACCAGTGCCTTGGTCCCTTGCAGAAACAAAAAATTTGTCTTTTTCCCCACATGTCTGGTAAACTCTGGAGCTGTTTTGCAGTGATGGGCCGTGTTGTACTTGGTGATGCTGATAGCATCGGTCATAATTTGTCCTGCCTCTGTTCCCGATTGGGAACATGCCATTTTCTGCTGAGAGTGGCCTGTTAGCTCTTCCAGCATTGTAATAAATTACGTGTCCTTGGGGCGCCTGGCTGGCTCAGTTGGTAGAGTGTGGGGCTCTTGATCTCGGGTTGTGAGTTCGAGCCCCACGTTGGGTGTAGAGATTACTTAAAAATAAAATTGGAAAAAAACAGTTATGTGTTCTGAATAAACGAGTATGTGGAAAGAGTGGAGAGGACTCCCAGAAAACTCACTGGTTGCATTAGGGTGCTCCCCACCCCACTTTCCTATTTTCCAAACATTGCTCTGTGACTTTGGTAATAATTTTCCGGGATTCTTCTTCATTGAGGAGAACAGTACTTGCTGCCATGAAAGAAGCTTTAAAACTACATTGGCAGGGGCACCTGGGGGGCTCAGTTGGTTAAGCGTCCAACTCTTTTTTTTTTTTTTTAATTTTTTTTTTAACGTTTTATTTATTTTTGAGACAGAGAGACACAGAGCATGAACGGGGGAGGGGCAGAGAGAGAGGGAGACACAGAATCGGAAGCAGGCTCCAGGCTCTGAGCCATCAGCCCAGAGCCCGACGCGGGGCTCGAACTCACGAACCGTGAGATCGTGACCTGAGCTGAAGTCGGTCACCCAACCGACTGAGCCACCCAGGGGCCCCAAGCGTCCAACTCTTGATCTTGGCTCGGGTCATGATCTCACAGGTTTGTGCGTTTGAGCCTCGCATCGGGCTCCATGCTGACAGCATGGAACCTGCTAGGGATTCTCTCTCTTTTCTCTCTCTCTGGCCCTCCCCTGCTTGCTTGTGCTCTCTTTCTCAAAATAAATAAATGAACTTTAAAAAAATTAAATAAACATTTATAAATAAATAAATCTACATTGCCTAAAATTTTGAATATGAAGACTGGTGTTCCTGGGGTGAGAAGCAGGTAAAATGACGAGGCACTGTCTCCTGCTCATGGAGGTCGTAGAGTGTGTTTTTTCACTGCTAATATCTTTCCTGTTACAGGCTGTCTCTGATGCCCAAGGCAGCCAGGAAATTGCTGTTTTAAAGGTGGTAGTTGAGGGGTGCCCGGGGGGGCTCAGTCAGTTAAGCGACTGACTTCGGCTCAGGTCATGATCTCGCGGTCCGTGAGTTCGAGCCCCGCGTCGGGCTCTGTGCTGACCGCTCAGAGCCTGGAGCCTGCTTTGGATTCTGTGTCTCCCTCTCTCTCTGACCCTCCCCCACTCACACTCTGTCTCTGTCTCTGTCTCTCTCTCGAGAATAAACATTAAAAAAAAAATTAAGACAAAACAATAAAGGTGGTAGTTTATTTTGTCTTCGGGGTTCCCTTGAGAAAAACCAACATGTGCCCTGTCTTTCCCAGCTGTCGCCACGTGCCGACCTGATGAGTTCCAGTGCTCGGATGGGACCTGTATCCATGGCAGCCGGCAGTGCGACCGGGAATATGACTGTAAGGACATGAGCGACGAGCTTGGCTGCATCAATGGTGAGCTCCTCTCGGGTCAGCCCTGCGTGCGCTGTGCGTCCTCCAGCAACTTACTCAACCCCCCTGAACTTCACTTCCATTTACCTGAAAACATGTATGTTATGAAATCACCTCTTTCAGGACTGAGATTTAACGAGGTCAAAGTGTGCAGAGCTCCTGTCTTTGAGCTCAGGGGTAACACGGTACGGTTCGATGTTAAGCACTTTCCTGAGCTTACGGTGGAGGGATTCCCCTCCCGGGAATGACCCCGGAGAAACTCGCACCTGTAATCAGAGATGGGCTCAGGATCACGCAGAGCAGCACTGGCCTAACAGCAAAATGCTAGAAGCAACCCAGGTGTTCATCAGCAGAGTTAATTTAAAAAATTGTTTTAAACTGTGGTGAGACACGTGTAACACAAGGATACTAGTGGGCTTATTTTGTTGTTGTTGTTGTTGTTGTTCTTAATTTTTTTTAATGTTTATTTATTTATTTTTGAGAGAGAGAGACAGAGCATGAGCAGGGGAGGAACAGAGAGAGAGAGGGAGACACAGAATCCGAAACAGGCTCCAGGCTCCGAGCTGTCAGCACAGAGCCCGACTCGGGGCTTGAACTCACAAACCGTGAGATCATGACCTGAGCTGAAGCTGGACGCTCAACCGACTGAGCCACCCAGGCACCTCTTGTTTTTTTTTTTTTTTTTTTTTTTTTTTTTTTTTTTAAGGGCGGGCCCACCCCCAAGCAGGGGGGGGGGAGACAGAAGGAGAGACAGAATCCCAAGCAGGCTCTGCGCCATCCGTGCAGAGCCTGATGCAGGGCTTGAACTCACGAACCGTGAGGTCATGACCTGAGCCAAAACCAAGAGTCGGATACTTAACCGACTCTGCCACCCAGGCGCCCCAATGAACAATATTTTAAAAAACAGTATCCTTGTGGGGCGCCTGGGTGGCGGAGTCAGTTAAGTGTCCAACTCTTGATCTTAAGTCTTGATGGAGAAAAAAATATTTTTAATTATAGTACTTAGAGACTGAAACAAACTTTTGTGAACAAGAAGTTAAATTCTGATAATGGACTTTTTAAAAATTGTGTTAGGGGTGCTTGGGTGGCTCACGTGGGTGCCTGGGTGGCTCGCGTGTACGACTTCAGCTCAGGTCATGAGCTCATGGTTCGTGAGTTCGAGCCCCGCATTGAGTTCCCTACTGTCAGTGTGGAGTCCGCATTGGAGTTTTGGATCCTCTGTCACCCTCTCCCTTTGTCCCTCCCCCAATTGCACGCACACGTGTGCGCGCTCTCTCTCTGTCTCTCTCTCTCAAACTAGCTAACTGAATAAAAATTGTCACCTGCGTATAACAAATTTTGCCTTCGTCACCGTTTTTAACGGTTTATTTCTGTGACACTGAATACATCATGTTTTATTTATGAATACATTTGCATGTAATCTCATATAAATGAGCTATCATGTTAATAAAGAGTAGTAAGGCGGCTCTTGCAGCTCAGAAGCACCTGACTCCCTTCTCTGGCTCTTAGTGACGCTGTGCGAGGGGCCCAACAAGTTCAAGTGCCACAGCGGCGAATGCATCACCCTGGACAAAGTGTGCAACTCGGTCCGGGACTGTCGGGACTGGTCGGACGAGCCTCTGAAGGAGTGCGGTGAGCCGAGGGATGCAGGTGGCTCTTGACCTTGTGGGGAGCTGGAGTGGGACTCAGACATGGATACTTTGGGGCTGCAAGGCTCCTGCCCAGCCATGCCCGTGAGTGCTTTAGCTCCGGGGCGACACGGACATGGGGGTCCTTGGGGATAAGGGGCTTTGTTTCCAAGCCTGTGGTCACATCTGTAGGATGGGACAGTGATGGTTCACATACCCTGCTGGGGGGTGGCTGACGGGATGCTTGTAAAGTTTCAGCAGTGCTCCGTGAACCATAACTATGTAAATATTTTGGACTTTACCAGCTGTAAGGTCTGTCACAGCTATTCAACGGGGTGTTATAGCAAGAAAACGGCATACGGATGTACACGCATGTGCACGTGAATGCGTGTGGCCGTGCTCCAAGAAAACCTTATTATGGACACTGATGTTTGGATTTCACAGACCTTTTATGTGGCACAAAATGCTGGTTTTCTTTGGATTTTTATTTTTCTTTTCAACCATTTAAAAACCGTAAAACACTGTCCTTAGCTTTCGGGCAAGAACAGATGGTGGGTTGGCTTTGGCCGAAGCCCTGTGAAAAGCGCCAGGTCGTGGATGCTGGACCTTAAGCGCCCTGAGTCCGGTCCAGCACTGTTGGGCAAGTGATTTAGCCTCGCCTGGGCCTCAGTTTCCCCAACTGTAGTTGAGCTATCTATAGGGCTGTTGGGAGTTCGTATATGCAACTGTGGAACACAGTTTTTATTTTTTTACCATCAAGAACATTTTGAAATGTGGTTGACAAAAAAATAACGTTCAGATTTACCTTCTTAACCAGTTTTAGGGGTAACGTTCAGCAGTGTTAGTACATTCATGTGGTCCTACAGCCCTCACCACCATCCATCTTGAGAACTTCCTCATCTTCCCAAACTGGGCCTCTGTGCCCGTGAAACACTGACTCCCTGCCCCCCCCCCCCCCCCCTCCCCCCCCCCCCCCATCTACTTCCTGTCTCTGACTTTGACTCCACTAAGGACCTCCTAGGAGTGAATCCTCCAGTATCTGTCCATCTGTGCCTGGTGTATTTCACTCAGCGGAATGTCCTCCAGGTTCATCCGTGGCATTGCACGTGACAGTGGTTATTTTAAGACCTTTTAGGGGACTTGGTAGTTCACTGGCCTCCACGTCATTGTGGTGATTACGATAAGGCTGATGAGATAGCGCAGGGAGGCTGATGACCTGAGAGTGACCGGTCTGTGTCCCTCCTGTTGCAGAGACCAACGAGTGTCTGGACAACAGGGGCGGCTGCTCCCACATCTGCAACGACCTCAAGATCGGCTATGAGTGCTTGTGCCCCGAGGGCTTCCAGCTGGTGGATCAGCGAAGATGTGAAGGTGATTCCTGAGCCACCTTGGCCCTTTCCCCTTGTGTGGTGGCCCAACCCTCTGTGCCTCAGTTTCCCCGTCTGTTAAGTGGGCACGAAAGCGGTCCTGACCTCACAGGCCTGTAGGGAGGATTTGATGAGGTGCCAAATGCACGGGCCATTCTAGCACAGGCTTGGCCCCCGAGGAGCACCCTGTCCTTGCCTTTGGGGATTAATAATTAAGAAAGAAATCTCGGCTGATGCAGCCTTTGCTCTGCTTGGCTGCACCCCTGAGGTGAACGGGCAGGTCAGGGTCACTGCTGGAGATGACACTTGGCTATTTCAGTGTGTTCGTTTCTGAACCTGATGGTCACCAAGACCCCGCCACTGGGAGGGATGGCTTTCGGTGGGAGCCCTCACTCCCATCAGCACCCCATGAGGAAGAAGCCCCAAACCCCTTTCTGTGTCCCGGCTTGCAGATATCGATGAGTGTCAGGATCCCGACGTGTGCAGCCAGCTCTGCGTGAACCTCGAGGGCAGCTACAAGTGCGAGTGCGAGGCGGGTTTCCAGCTGGACCCCCTCACCAAGGCCTGCAAGGCTGTGGGTGAGCCAGGGGCGGGGGCGGGGATGGCGCCGGGAGCAGATGCGGTGGCGGGTTTCATCATGTGAACTTTGCATACACTCCAAAGACCCGGGCAGACCGTGTGCCCTCTGGCAGAGGGATGAGCGGCCCAGTTAGGAACTTGCTGGGAGGCTGCCCGCACATGTCCAGCTTCTCTGGGGACACAGGTCAATTGCACAGGGAAAGGTTTGCGGCCCCCAGCCTGGCCAATGGCTTTAGGGGACAAGAGGTGAAAAGCAATGGCCCTATGAAGGGCCTGCTCCCCCTCCAGCTGTTTTGGGAGGTCTTTTTGTTTTTTGTTTTTCTTAGAGCTAGAGCATGAGTGGTAGGAGGGGGAGAGGGAGAGAGAGAGAGAGAGAGAAAAGGAATTTTAAGCAGGCTCCACGCTCCATGCAGAGCCAGACATGGGGCTCAATCCCACAACCCTGGGATCATGACCTGAGCCCAAACCAAGAGTTGGATGCTCAACCGACTGAGCCACCCATGCACCCCTTGCTGAAATATTTTAGATCGCCTTCTGTTTCCTCAAGGATCTGTTTTAACCTTGAAGTTTTTCTCCCCTGTTGTCATCCCTTTGTGACTGTTCCTTGGGCTCCCTCTGTCACACCCCTGTGCGTTTCCTGGTTCTGGGGAAAACTAGGGACAGAGATCATAAAACCCTCTAGGATTTGAGATACTACTTTCGTTCCAACCTGTAGGGCCAGTGTCTATACAGATCCTTCCCAGGGGTAGGCGTGGTGTTGTGGGGAGGGGTCCTGAGTGAGGTCCATTGTTCCCGTGGTCAGCTCATTGGTGAATGTCAGTGTCATGGTTACAGCACAGCCGCCAGAGTCAGGACAACGTGGGTTTGAGTCCCAGCTCTGCCGTTTACTAGTTGGTGTGACCTTGGGCTGGTCCCCTCCCCTCTGAGCTCCGATCCCCTTCTGTATAAAGGGACTTTGACAACACCCCTGGCCTCCTAGGAGTGTGAGGATCAGTGAGGGAAAACGTGATATGAACAGCACTGAGCAGAATTTACTGCCCTAAGGAATCCCTGTGGACACATTAACTTATCATTTCTTCATATTTATGTTCCAAAATGTAAAATGCTGGGGACCCAGTGTTTTATTTATTTTTTAAAGTTTATTTATTTTGGGAGAAAATGACAGAGTGCATGAGCAGGGGAGGGGCAGAGAGAGAGAGAGAGAGAGAGAGAGAGAGAGAGAGAGAGAAAGAATCCCAAGCAGGCTCCAGGCCCTGTACTGTCAGCACAGAGCCAGATGCGGGTCTCGAACTCACACACTTTGAGATCGTGACCTGAGCCAAAGTCAGACGCTTAACTGAGTGAGTCACCCAGATGTGGGACCCAGTGTTTTAAAATGTAGGTTTTGGGGGCGCCTGGGTGGCGCAGTCGGTTAAGCGTCCGACTTCAGCCAGGTCACGATCTCACGGTCTGTGAGTTCGAGCCCCGTGTCAGGCTCTGGGCTGATGGCTCAGAGCCTGGAGCCTGTTTCCGATTCTGTGTCTCCCTCTCTCTCTGCCCCTCCCCCGTTCATGCTCTGCCTCTCTCTGTCCCAAAAATAAATAAACGTTGAAAAAAAAAAAATTTAAAATGTAGGTTTTGTTATCATTCAAGCATGGTGAGGCCAGCAGATCAGGAGACGACCCCACTGGAAAGATTGGTTGTTACAGTTCCCAAGAGGAGGGGGCGTGGCAGCCCCAGGGGCCATACGGGGAAGCGCCAGGTTGCTCCGAGGGAGAGTGAGAGGGGCACACGTGGGCTGGAGCCTCTTGTGGTTTCCTCGGGCGTGAGGTGAGGCAGGGTGAGCAGGCTCACGACTGGCTGGACGGGAGAATCCCAGCAGGCTCTGGGGCCGGGGCGCTGCTCGTGCTGTCTGGTGTCTGTCCCAGGGTGACCCGGGCAGGCGGGTGGATAGTGGCCCAGAGTTCGAGAGCCCAGTAGAGGGGGTGGCATGTATGGGCTGGCTCGTTTGCACTTGAGGCGGGTTGTGAACAGTCCCTAGGAGCTGGCTGGCCCTGGGAGGGGCTGTCCCTTCTGCTCTGCAAGGCCCAGGATGTCAGGGCCTCAGAACCACATGGTTAATACACTAGGGGGGCCTTTTCCGCCCCATCCTGGGTGTCTTCTCTGGTTCAGTCAGACCCCAAAGGGTGACAAGCGGGAATCGGGGGGTCCTTCTGCTCCCCTGAGCGTCCTTCCTGTGTTCCCAGGCACTATCGCCTACCTGTTTTTCACCAACCGCCACGAGGTGAGGAAGATGACCCTGGACCGCAGCGAATACACCAGCCTCATCCCAAACTTGAAGAACGTGGTCGCCCTGGACACCGAGGTGGCCAGCAACAGAATATACTGGTCCGACCTGTCCCAAAGGAAGATCTACAGGTGAGCCTTGGAGCCACACCCAGCGCTCAACCCCCGGTGGCGCGGGGGCCCCTCTCACTGACGCTCTCCTTCCCCTGCTCCTCCCCCTCAGCGCCCAAATCGACAGAGCCCCTGGCTTCTCCTCCTATGACACCATCGTCAGCGAGGACCTCCAGGCCCCCGATGGGCTGGCGGTGGACTGGATCCACAGCAACATATACTGGACAGACTCCATCCTGGGCACCGTCTCCGTGGCCGACACCAAGGGTGTGAAGAGAAAGACGCTCTTCAAGGAGAAAGGCTCTAAGCCACGTGCCATCGTGGTGGATCCCGTTCACGGGTGGGTGCTGCTAAAGCCGAGGGCCACGGAAGGAACGGAGAACACGGGCGGGGTTCAAGAACTGGTTAGGGCTCCAACCGGGGAAGGCGTGTGCCCGAGCTGGACTGTCCCCAGCCACAGCGGCTCCTGCTCTCAGGAAAAAGCAGGACCTGAACAGTCGCCCTTCACCCACCCACCCTTTGGGAGCCAGGGGCCGATCCCTCTTGAGGTTCACTGTGGTCCCCGAGATGGGAGCGGGCCGTGGAAAGCTGTGCCCTCAGGACGAGAGCCCCAAAACCAGAAGTTAGAATATGGATTTTTTTTTTAAGTTTATTTATTTACTTTGAGAGAGATGGTGTGAGCAGGAGAGGGGTGGAGAGAGAATCCCAAGCAGGCTCCATGCTGTCAGCACAGAGCCCGATGTGGGGGCTCAAACTCACAAGATCATGAGATCAAGACCTGAGCCGAAACCGAGTCAGACCCTTAACCGACTGAGCCACCCGGGCGCCCCAAAGTAGGGATGTTTAAAATGGTATTCAAAATTAGTACTTATTTAAATCCCAGTTTGGGATTTTATGGCCGAGTATCCTGTGCCTGGACAGGAAAGGTCAGAACAGTCAGCCCTGATGGTAGTTTTGGGGAGGACGTCACAGGGAGTGAAGGTCGCCACGCCTCGGAGCCCCCAGGAGGGTGTTTGCAGGGCCCGCGGCTGACTCAGCAGCTCCGGGGCCCACTTGGGGGGTACCCGTGTCCCCGCCCCGTGTACTGCGCCTGTTACACCACACCTGCTGGGTGTGGAATTGCACAATTCTGGAAGGGCAGCCTGGCGGCAACAATCAGAGGAAAGGGGAACTTGGGAGAGAAGCACGAATCAGGTGGGCTAGAGCTGGGGTGCAGGTAGGCCTGAGTCCCCATTGAACAAAACATTTGTTCTCGTTTGGCGGAGGCCCACTCGGTTGAGTGACTTTATTCCTGCAGCTTTCAGAAAGAGAGAGACTCCCGGAGAAAACCACTTAGTTCCAAGTCGTGGTGCGTGCGTGTGTGTGTGTGTGTGCGCGTGTGCCGTCTGCTCTCGTGTTTCTTTCCCCCCACAAATAGCCACACGTGATCACACAGTGTTCATCTGGCTTTTTCGTTTGGCGTATGGGGTTCATTCCCTGTTGGCTTGTTGAGCCACGATTTCCTTGTACCCAGTGCGTGGAAACTTAGTTATTTTTCCCCCTTACCTCACACAAAGGCTGCAGATACCTTTGAATACCTTTGAATGTGAGTCACTGCAGTTTACCTGCAGGACTGTAGATTCTAGATTCTTCATTCCGGAAGTTGGATTACTAGCTCCGGGGGGTACGGGCGTGGATAGAGCAGCAAATTGTCGTTCAGCACCTGGATTGTGAAACCGACCTTGCGTCCGGAAGGGCACCCGGAGACTCCTTTCCCTCACTGTCGGCAGCAGGTTTTCACTCTTGCCAGTCATTATGGGGAGACTGCTGGTACGTTTGTCTACTTGTGAGTTCGAGCATCTCTTCAGAGGCTCAAAAGCCATCGGAGATCCGCTTCCAAGTGTAGATGGGAAAGCAGCGAACGCAGGCACGTGAGCAGGGATTTGTAGCCCCACGTTCACAGCTGCCAGGGTATGGGCCCCCCAGTGGACGAAGGAGAAACTAGATGTGGTCCGTCCACCCGATGGCATTTTACTCAGTCTCAAAAAGGAAGTAAATTCTGGCACCGGGGACGAACCTTGGGGACATTATGCTAAGTGCAAGAAGCCAGACACAAAAGGACACATAGGATTCTACTTCCGGGGGGTCCCTAGAGGAGTCCCATTCATAGAGTCAGAAAGCCGAGTGGTGGGTGCGGGGGGCTGGGGGAGGTGAAGGAAGAGGCGGCATTTAATGGGGTCAGAGTTTCGGCTTGGGAAAATGGGAAAGTTCCGGGGATGGCTGGTGGGGATGGCTGCATGGCGGTCTATGTGTACTTAATGCCACTGACTGGATACTTAAAAACGATCAAGATGGTTTGGGGCGCCTGGGTGGCTCAGTCGGATGAGTGTCCGACTTCGGCTCAGGTCATGATCTCACGGTTCATGGGTTCGAGCCCCGTGTCGGGCTCTGGGCTGATGGCTCAGAGCCTGGAGCCTGTTTCCGATTCTGTGTCTCCCTCTCTCTCTGCCACTCCCCCACTCATGCTCTGTCTCTCTCTGCCTCTCAAAAACAAACATAATAAATAAATAACAATCAAGATGGTTTATGTGGCGTATATTTTGCCACAATTAAAAAAATCGTTTTAAAGCAAAAAAAAAAAAAATTATAAAATTAAAAATATATAAAAGCCTTCAGAAAGGCTGAAGGGTATACATTATGGGTCCTGGTCCTGACGTTGGAATCAAAGTCTCCCTTTGTTCTTGAAGGTTCTAAATCCTGCCAGGTCTCCCCATGTTGCAGGCACTAGGGTAGCAGAAGAACCAGTCCAAGGTCTCCTTGGGGGGCTTCTTACAATTCCTGGCCTACTGCTCCAGATGGAGGCTGCTCTTCGGGGCACGCTGGGCGCCTCCCCCACTGACCTTCTCCTGTTCATGCTACTCTCCCACCAGCTTCATGTACTGGACGGATTGGGGAACCCCCGCCGAGATCAAGAAGGGGGGTCTGAACGGCGTCGATGTTTACTCGCTAGTGACGGAGGACATCCAGTGGCCCAATGGCATCACCCTGGGTATGTCCTTGGGACCGTGGTCCCTGGGGTCCACACGGCCCCGGAATGGGGTTGTCACTCATACATGGTGGTGGGTTGTTGGGGCTACTTTTCTGGGCACATCTCTGCCGGCTCCTTGGGGGTGCTCCTTCCTGCGGGGAGTGGAGTGGCCAGGCCCGGGCCCCTTGGGCGTCGGCGTGTGACCTCTCCTTGTCCACTGTGGGTTCTAGATCTTTCTGGTGGCCGCCTCTACTGGGTTGACTCCAAGCTCCACTCCATCTCGAGCATTGATGTCAACGGGGGGAACCGGAAGACCGTTTTGGAGGATGAGAAAAAGCTGGCACACCCCTTCTCCTTGGCCATCTTTGAGGTGGGGGCTGGAAGCAAGTGGTTGCTCCTTGGGCGCCTGAGGGGATTCACATCCAAGTCCCGGTTACTGAGCACGACTGACATAGGAGGCATAAGCGCTCAGGCTAATGGGTCAGCCCACGTTGTCTAGTTCATCCAAGCCAGGACTAACTTAGAAGATTGTCTGTGGCTGTAAAAAGGTCTTAGATCTGGAGTTATTTCTATTTCCTTCTCATCAAAAGAGTCAAAGAGTTGTTGCTTGGTTTTTTGGGTTTTTTTTTTATGTTAATTTTTTCTTTGAGACAGAGATCACAAATGGGGGAGGGACAGAAAGAGAGGTTGAGAGAGAGAATCTCGAGCAAGCTCCATGCTTTCAGCACAGAGCCTGACGCAGGGCTAGATCCCACAAACCATGAGATCGTGACCCGAGCCGAAATCAACAGTCAGACGCTTAACTGAGTCACCCAGGGGCCCCCACGTTGCTTTTTTCTCTTTTCTTTCTTTTTTTTTTTTTTTTTTCTTAAGTAAACTCTACCCCTAGTGCGGGGCTCGAACTCAAGACTCTGAGATCAAGAGTCACACACTCTCCCAACAGAGCCCTCCGAGCACGCCCTCTCCAAAAGAGTCTTAGAGTAGGAATTCTCACTTGGAGGCCATCTTGCCGCCCAGGGGACATTTGGCACTTTCTGAAGACTTTGGTTGTTGCACTTGAGGGGGGGTTACTAGTTCCTAGTGGATAGAGGCTGGTGACCACCCTTCAAAGAGAAGAGGGGACCAGCCAGAGTGGGTTGTCTGGCCCGAGTAGCGCCACAGCAGAGAACGGCTCTGAGGAAATGTTGCTATATTCGTACACCCGTGTTCAAGCAGCAGGATTCACAACAGCCCAGAGGTGGAAGCGACCTGGGTGTCCCGTCAGAGCCGATCTGCTAAACAAGATGTGTATCTATACACTGGAATGTGGTTCAGCCTGAAAAAGGAAGGAAATTCTAACACATGCTCCGACACGGACGAGCCTTGAGGGAACTAAGCCAGACACAAAAGGACAGAAGGACAGATGCTGTAGAATTCCATTTTTTTTTTTTTTAAACTTTTTAAAGTGCGCATGCGGGCGAGCAAAGGAGGGGCAGAGAGAGAGGGAGACGGAATCCCAAGCAGGCTCGAACCTCAGATGTGGAGCTGGAACTCATGAACCATGAGATCATGACCTAAACTGAAATCAAGAGTCGGATGCTTAACCAACTGAGCCACCCACGCGCCCCTGTAGAATTCCACTTACATGAGGTCCCTAGAGGAGTCCCATCCATAGAGACAGGAAGTAGATGGGGGGGGAGCTGGGGGTGGGGAGTCAGTATTTCATGGGGACAGAGTCTCAGTTTGGGAAGATGAGAAAGTTTGGGGCATGGGTGGTGGGGAGGGCTGCACAACCATGTGAATGTATTTCATGCTACTGAACACACTGAAAAAGGGTTAAGATGGTCAGTTTTGTGTGTATTTTATACATTTAAACTTTTTGAGTTTTTAAAAATGTTTTTATTTATTTTTGAGAGAGACCGAGTAAGCAGGGGAGGGGCAGAGCGAGAGGGAGACACAGAATCTGACACAGGCTCCAGGCTCTGAGCTGTCAGCAGACAAACTGTGAGACCGTGACCTGGGCCGAAGCCGTCGGACCCCCAAGCCGACTGAGCCACCCAGGCGCCCCACAATTAGAACTTTTTTATTTTGTAAAAAAATTTTTTAACGTTTATTTTTGAAAGAGAGAGAGAGAGAGAGAGAGAGAGGCAGACAAAGCATGAGCAGGGGAGGGGCAGAGAGAGAGAGGGAGACCCAGAATCCGAAGCAGGCTCCAGGCTCCGAGCGGTCAGCACAGAGCCCGACGCGGGGCTCGAACTCACGGACCGTGAGATCACGCCCTGAGCCGAAGTCAGACGCTCAACCGACTGAGCCACGCAGGCGCCCCGAAACTTTTTTTGAAGAAAAACTAAACGAGGCTAGTGCCACCTAGTGCTGCTTCTTCCCGGAGATTCGTGTGCCCTCTGCCCATGGTTAATGGGATCTGCCATCTCTTCATGCCCGTATAGGATAAAGTATTTTGGACGGACATCATCAACGAAGCCATTTTCAGTGCCAACCGCCTCACCGGCTCAGACATTAATCTGCTAGCAGAAAACCTGTTGTCCCCGGAGGACATTGTCCTTTTTCACAACCTCACACAGCCAAGAGGTAAAGACGGGGTGACTGCCTCCCCCCTCCGCTTCCCTGCTGTTATTTCTGGAACTTTCCAGAATTTTCTAATCTTGTTCTCACCCTGACTCCCTGCCTCTTCCGCCTCAGGGGTGAACTGGTGTGAGAGGACGGCCCTCCGCAACGGTGGCTGCCAGTACCTGTGTCTCCCGGCCCCACAGATCAACCCCCACTCACCCAAGTTCACCTGTGCCTGCCCGGATGGCATGCTGCTGGCCAAGGACATGAGGAGCTGCCTCAGAGGTAGGGGCACCAGCCTGGGCACGAGTCCTGCTTCCGCCACCCTTGTGTCTGTAACACCCGTGAATCTCCCGTTTGCAGTACAACCAATGATGGAATAACAACACCGTTACTAGCGGGTTTCAATTTTCACTACATTGATTTTATTTCTTTGTGGCCAACAGCACGCACTTCCTCTCCGTGGTCACGAGCAGCACAGTTATCAGAGGGGCACTTGGGCCGCGGGGCACTCAGGAGATGTTTCTTCTTTCAGAGCCCGAACCTGTCGTGACCCCCCGGGCGACCTCCACGGTCACGGTCAGGCCAACGGTGCGCTCCACAGCCGTGAGGACGACAGTGCGCCCCCCAACCGCGGGGCCAAAGCACACAGCCGGCCCGTGGTCCGTGGCCAGCCCTGAGTTCACCACGCCTGAGACGGTGACAGTGTCCCACCAAGGTAGACGTCGGGACTACCCTGGGCCCTGGTTTAACAGCTCGGGCATCTCGATGGGCCAAGGGAATCTTGGTGAAGGGATGGAGTGGGCTTACCTTTCACCCCTGCACTTTCTGACCTGGCCTGTGCCTCGCGGAAGCCTCCGTTCCCCTCTCTGTTAAATGGGGCTGATAACAGTGCCCGCCAACCCCCCCCTAAGGCATGTGAAGGCTTTGGGTGCGTGGTGGTGGCTTATCCCAGAGTCCTCCAGGCACAGGGACCTGAAACATTATCGAGGCCCCTTTGATGACCTGTTTTCAGGCACTTGCCCAACAGGGCCAGGGTGAGGCGGTGAGGCACTTCCTTGGGCACCATCTGAGGGCGTTCCAAAAGCCCAGCACTTAAATAATATTTTACTACATTATTTTTTTTTTAGTATTTTTTTACTGTTTATTTTCAAGAGAGTGAGCGCACTCGTGACAGCACGAGCAGGGGAGTGGCAGAGAGAGAGGGAGACACAAAATTGGAAGCAGGCTCCAGGCTCTGAGCTGTCGGCACAGAACCCGATGCAGGGCTTGAACCTGCGAACTGTGAGATCATGACCTGAGCCAAAATCAGATGCTTAACCTACTGGGCCACCCAGGTGCCTCTTTAATGTTTATTTTTGGGAGAGGGAGAGAGAATGAGCAGGGGAGGGGCAGAGAGAGGGAGAGACAGAGGATCCAAAGCAGGCTCTGAGCTGACAACAGAGGGCCCAATGGGGGGCTCGAACCCACAAACCGTGAGATCCTGACCTGAGCCAAAATCAGATGCTTAACCGACTGAGCCACCCAGGTGCCCAGCTACATTAAAAAAAAAAAAAAAAAAAAAAAAAAAAATCACCAAACTATGGGCCAAACACTTGGTTTTGTAAATATAGTTTGATCAGAGCCAGGGTCTCAAAGAGGCAAGTGTAGAGTCAGATCCTGTCTTCCTAAAAATGTGATCCTTTGTCATGGGATCTTGGCCTTAATGTTTATTAAACAAAACCCAAAAAACACCACACACATTAGGATGTTACTTGATTACTAAAGTCTTTTTGGTGGGAGACAGGGGGAGGCTCTAAGTTTTTGCTTGTGGGTAGGGCCTCGCTGTCCTCACCCTACCAGTCTCAAGGTCAGAGCTGGGCTCTCAGTGACATCAGTGGAAGACTTGCCATTCATCTCTTTGGCCACCAGAGGGCCCCTGATCTGGAGTTCGATCAGCTGGAAAATGGAGCCCCTAGACTTTTTTTTGGCCAGGAAAAAAAGGGGTGCATCAGCAAGTTTCAGACATTTTCCCCCACTCAGAGTAGCTAAAGCCCCTGTGCAACCATGAACAAGGTAAAGCGGGGACTGCTGTGGTCAAGGGAGGCCGGGAAACCTTTTTGCTCGGGGGTGCCCCTGCTTGAAAACCCATTTCACAAACAGGCCTGTCTAGGGCGTCTCGATTTTGGTGAATGAGTCCTTTTAAGGGGAAAAACTTCTCAAAGATCTTGCTGCTGCCTTATTTATTTATTTATTTTAATGTTTATTTATTTACTTTGAGGGAGGGGGAGGTGCAAAGAGAGAAGGAGAGAGAATCCCAGGGAGGCTCTCTGCTCAGTCTCATGAACCATGAGGCCATGACCTGAGCCGAGATCAAGAGTCGGATGCTTAACCGACTGAGCCACCCGGGCACCCCACCTTAAGTTATTTTTGTTAAAAGTCTTCTTAAATCTGAGCCGATGTCAAAGTAGAAATTCCATGCACCCAGGTGGGGTCGACTTTAACTGGTGACCTACGTACATGTGACCCAGGTGTGGCCTTTCAGTCTTCCCAGCCTGTTTGCCTGCTTGAAGGACTTTAAACTTTGATTTGCACGGGGCCCTTACAGGGCTCAGGTGCACATTCATGGTTGCGTAACGAGGTCTCCCCCAATATTTATTAACTGGGGACAGTTGAGACAGGACGAGGGCGCTTCGGCGCGATCCAAGCCAGGCATTGGGGTTGCTGCACGGTACGGAGTCACGTGGTGGCCGCTGCCCCACCCAGAACGGTCTCCTTTCCATCAAATGCAGACCCAGGGTGAAAAATTCCACCAGCGACCTCACCAACTGTTGAGAACGTACCTGCAGGCTTTTGCCTCCCAGACCGTTGGCCCCTTTCCCAGAGCCTCGTGACGCTTGGCTGAAGGGCCCTCTTAAATCTGCTCCATAACCGTGTCTGCTAATGAATAAGGCCCCAGCGTGGTGCCTCCCAAACCCGGGAGTCCCTCCAAGTCGCTTTGAGCTTTTAAGGACGCCGAGCAGCACCAGGCGTTTTTCTCGCGCGTGTTGGCGGCCGCACACCTGCCGCGTTTTCCGTGGCCCTCGCTGTGGATCCGAGCCTCACTTTCTCCCCTCTCCCGAGCAGCCCTGGGCGACGCTGCCAGCAGAGGAGACGAGGAGCGACCGAGGAGCGTGGGGGCCCTGTACGTCATCCTCCCCATCGGTAAGCCCATCGGGCCTGCCCCACTTCCCCGCTCCCCGCCAGAGGACCGCCCTGCCCAGCCAGCCGGTCCGGTCCACCTGTACGCCCAGGATGGGGGCGCCCCCCCCCCCCCGCCCACGTGCCCTGTTCATCACTGCGGCCCCCTCTGTAGCTCCATTCACTCAACAAATCCGGTCGAGCGCCTGCTGTAAGGCCGCTTCTGGGCCGTGGGGCCGCAGCTGTCCCCGCCGCTGGGTCAGCTGCGGGAAAGGGGCTGCAGGGAAGGCCTCCCGCCACCGGAGGGGCGCCTCCTGGCAAACGGTGCTCTTGTAGGGGGAGTTTGGGGGGTTCTACACCCTCCCGTCCCTGTCCATCGTAACTCCGTTAGCATCACACCTGATTTTCCTTTTCTAAGGAAATCCTTCCGAGGTGTCCCTTCCCCACCCCCAGCCCACTCACAGGACCTGCACTTTAGTACCCAGTGGCCGTCTGGCTCTGAGTTGACAGGTGGCAGTGGGACCCTTGCCTCCCGAACAAGGCCCCCACCCTGTGTCCTCCCAGCAGAGCCTGAAGCTGTCCCACACCCTGGGCAGTGGCCAGGTTTTGTTTTTTTGTTTTTGTTTTTTTACAAACCTGGCTGGGTGAGCCCTTGGTTGTCCCCTGGATCTGGGAGGGGCAGGGTGCACCACCCAGGGGTCCCCTCATAAACGAGGCAGAGGCCACCCAGATGGAGAAGAGAATGAGTTTGGCCGTGTCCATAGAGAACAGTCCCATTTCTGAAAGAGCCCCATGACTCAGAAGCACCTGGAAGAATCGACTGCGGTCGGGTATTTCCGGGGCGAGCCAGTCACAGCGGGCTTCGAGTTAGAGATTGGTCATGTGTATGGATAGGTTCCCCACCCCCACCCCCCCGACCCCGCAGTGGACAAGTATGGCTTGAAATTGGAACAAAAAAAAACCCTATAGAAGTCCGAAGGCAGGAGTCTGCAGGCGGCATCACTTGGGGACGTAGGGCTCTGGGGCCACCTGCTGACCGGGCTGGGCCACCTCGCCCTACAGTGCTGCTCATCCTCCTGGGCTTCGGGACCTTCCTTCTCTGGAAGAACTGGCGGCTGAAAAGCATCAACAGCATCAACTTTGACAACCCCGTGTACCAGAAGACCACGGAGGACGAGGTCCACATCTGCTGCAGCCAGGACGGCTACACCTACCCTTCGGTGGGTGCCCTGCGCCGCCCCGGAGGCCCCCTTCCTCCCTGCAAGGCTGTGAGGTCCTCCGGGATGCTCCAGTGGTGGGGGACCGGCAGGGGGACAGGGGTTCGGGAGAGGAAAGAGAACAAGAAAGCCAGTGGGGGCCGGGAGGGAGGGAGGGAGTGCGATTTTAGATAAGGAGGCTGGGGCAGGTCTCCCTGTGCAGGGACAGCCCTCGAGCAGGCTGGTGTGCCTGAGGAACGCAGAGGTGGCCGGAGCGGGGGCTCGGGGGCTGTCGAGGGAGGAGCCGAGTGACAGGGACCATGGCAGACGGAGCAGGGCCTCGTGGGCCATGGGGAGGATTCTGGCTTTGCTCTTAGAAGGTAGGAGCCACGGAGGGTTCCGAGCAGAGGAGGGACTTGACCTGGCTCGGGGCTCACAGGCGCCCTCCCCTGGCTGTGGGAGGAAAGACCGAGCCCCAGGTCGGGAGCCCGGAGCCCAGGGTGGAACCCGGTGTGCTGGTTCAGGCCCGAGATGGGCCGGGCTGGCCGCGGGGTGGGGCCGGGAGGGAGCGAGGAGGCGTAGGTGGCCTCTTGCCATGTTTACCGAATGTTGGACTGATCGCTTCCGGCGTTTATCTTTCTGTTGACAGAGACAGATGGTCAGCCTGGAGGACGATGTGGCCTGAGCCGCCGCCTCGAGTCCTGTGCTTCCCCGGAACCTGCTGCCCGACGTGGGCAGGAAGAACACTTTCTCCCAGGACCCTTGACCCGCGCCGCACCCTTCCTCCTGGTCCCTGCAAAGAAAGAAGTGACCGAAAGCACTGTTGGTGGCCACAGCCTCAGCGCCGGCAGCCGCTTGGCCTGCCTGCCAGAGCTTTGTTTTATATATTTATTCTTCTGGGAGGCAGAACAGGCTTCCGACGGCGCACACGCAACAGGTTGGGGTTGGGTTTTTTTCTTTCTCTAGGAATAGCGGAGAAGAGCAGGCCAAAGGAGCTGGGGGGACATCTCTGTCCCCTCCAGGGACCGCTCACTTCTCCCCCTCTCCCGACGCACTGACGGAGGAGCACAGGGGGAGAGGCGGCACATGGCTTTGAACCGCGAGAGCAGGCACTACCCCCGGGGTCCTGGGTAGCTGCCGGACCCCCGCCTCTCTAGCCCGAGCCCCCAAACTCAGGAGTAAGTGCGTTCACCCCTGCCTTGCTGGACGGCCAGAGTTAGCTTTTGCTCTGCTCCCCCCAGATCTGGATCAAACTAGGGTTTCCCCAGCGAGGTTCGTGCCCTCCCTTGATGCCGGGACTCTGGCGTCGCTGTGGCTCTGGCCAAGTGCAGTATCCCAGGGTGGGGATGGGGGGGCACTGAGGCCCCCCCCCTCCATTCGCCGAAACCGCGACAGCTCCCAGAGAGAGCCCGAGCCACCGATCGTCCTTAATATTTATTAAGTGCCTGAGCTACCCCGTTACCCGAGGCGCGAAGGCAGCGGCCGCCAACCTCTAAGAGCACCCATCACTCTGGGTGTGGCTGTCTGGACCCCAGCTCCTTCCAGGTCCCCTTGCACTTTTTTCGTTCGGGGCCGTATCCTGCGTCAAGTCGACGTTCTTACTATTTTGCACTGGTTTCTGTTCCGGGTGGGAGGGGTCCGTGCGGATGAGCCTGCTGTCTGGGGCCTCCCTCCCCCGCCCCCCCCCCATCAAAAGTCACAATCACGACTCTCCGGCTCGTGTGGCCGCTTCTGTGCAGATGCCCCTGGGCCGTTAATTTCCCCGCGAGAAGACGGTTCGCTTTAGCCCTGCAAGGCATCCCCTGGGCTTGGCCATTCTTATGGGACTTCGGAAACCAAACTTTCTGATCCTATCACACATGTCACACTCACGACCAAAAAAAGAAGTGCGAGCCTCTTGTGGATTCCTGCCTAAAGTCGTCCAGGGAGTGTCCACGTTCACTGCATGACCACTAAGCACTGCGTCCTACTCTGAGTTGCAGGAAACTGTGAAAGCCTTTTCTCCTTCGGAAGCATGTAAATAAACTGCTGTACAGATGCGGGGGCGGGGGGGGGTGCGCTTTTTGTTACGTTTGCACTTTGTATATTCGTTAGACATTTATCACTTCTATATATGAAACAGAGATCTATTTATTTTTGCAAACCCTGGTTGCTGCATCTGTGACCCCTCTGGGGGCTCTGCATTGGGGGGAAGTTGTCTCTGAGACGCCTCTTAACTTTTGTACAAAGATGATTCGTGCGGGCTTCGCGCGAAGCCCTTCAGGAGAAATGGGGCCGTGTTGGGTTGTTTTGGGGGATGGGTACCGCTTTTTACAACCACTGTATAGAACGTTTTTATAGCCTGAATGTCTTACTGTGATCGATTAAATTTCTTAAATGAACCGCTTGGCTCCTCCTGGAATGCTCTTTCTCCCCTCCTTGTCTGGGCTCCTCCATCTGGACATGGGCGGGGCTTTCCCAGGAGGCGGTTCTGGAAAGGGAACATTCCCGAGAGCTCAGGACAGGCTGCGGGCTCCGGGGCGCTTCCCCGAGTTGGGACTTTTTGCTAAGTCTGCACGCTCGTCCCACTGAACTACATCTGGGCGGCTGTGATCCAGGCGAGGGCCTTTTTATTTTATCCACTGCAGTGACTAAAAGAGAAGAGTCTGCCCTCAAGGAGCTGACAGCTTAGAAGGGGAAATGGAGGCTGACGACATTAGTTTGGAAGGATGTTAAACAGGGTAACAGGGAGAGAGAAGTGACCGGCGGGGGGTGTCCGGGGAAGGATTCTCTCAGGAGGTGACACTTGAGCTGAATCCAGAAGCACAAACAGGGGAAGAGTGTCCGGGGCTGAGACCTTCGCACTTCACTCAATCAACACGAGTGATTTGGAAGGAAGCTTCCCTTCACGCCCGTGGGCTCCGGGGGTGGTTTGGTGTAAGTTTTCTTACAGGAGGAGACCAAGGCTAAACACCCACCTAATTAGTTGCTAAGATACAAACCAAGAGGGGGCGCGTGGGTGACTCAATCCCTTAAGCCTCTGACTTCAGCTCAGGTCATGATCTCACAGTGTGTGAGTTCGAGCCCCGCGCCGGGCTCTGTGCTGACAGCTCAGAGCCCGGAGCCTCCTTCGGATTCTCTGTCTCCCTCTCTCTCTGCTCCAACCCCCGCTCATGCTCTCTCTCAAAAATAAATATTTAGGGGCGCCTGGGTGGCGCAGTCGGTTAAGCGTCCGACTTCAGCCAGGTCACGATCTCGCGGTCCGTGAGTTCGAGCCCCGCATCAGGCTCTGGGCTGATGGCTCAGAGCCTGGAGCCTGTTTCCGATTCTGTGTCTCCCTCTCTCTCTGCCCCTCCCCCGTTCATGCTCTGTCTCTCTCTGTCCCAAAAAATAAATAAA